TGAAGCCTAAGGAAGAGAATGGTGTGCCCATTTTGACAAATGAGAAAACTGAGATCAGGGTAGAAACAGACCAAGAAATTGACTCGTGTGAAAAAGACAAAGCTATTCATGCAGCGTTTATTCACTCCTTCGTTCATTCATCACTTAGTCCCCAGCAGGGAGGGACTGACTATGCCCTCAGGCCCAGCCCTGTGCTGAGGGAACAGCAGGGAATCAGGCCCAGCTCCTGCCTCAGGGAGCTCACGGTGGGCTGGAGGGACAGGCATGAAAGCACTGAGGGACATGAGGATGTGCCTGGGGCAGTGGCACTGGGGTGCGGGCACCCAGAGTGGGTCCTCATGGCCTGAGCCCGGGTAATACCTACCACCCTTAAAAGCAGGACCTGGGGTCAGGACTTCTGAGCAGGGGGGTTCTTTGGGGAAGTGGATCCAGGGAGCTGACTGAGGGACGGGGAGGGTAAAGGAGGAGAGAGAAAATCGAGCACAGGGTGTGCCACAGAGATGGCCACACTAAGAGCAACAAAGGCTTAACCTAAAGGGATTGTAGCTGCCCAACAGGTTCACGTTGCCTGCTGCCTAGACAGAGCCGACTTATCGGGACATGGGACTTGCAATGGAGAAGTAATTCATGCACAGCCGGTTATGCGGGAGACGGGAGTTTGTTTAAGTTGTACTTTGTCACCCAGGCTGGAGTGCAGTGGCATGATCTCTGTTCAATGCAACCTCTGCCTCCCAGGTTCAAGAGATTCTCCTGCCTCATCCTCCTGAGTAGCTGGGAATACAGGTGGGCACCACCATGCCCAGCTAATTTTTGTATTTTGTTATTTTTCATGATGGAGTTTCGCTCTTGTTGCCCAGGCTGGAGTGCAATGGCACGATCTCCGCTTACTGCAACCTCTGCCTCCTGGGTTCAAGAGATTCTCCTGCCTCAATCTCCTGAGTAGCTAGATTACATGCATGTGTCACCACTCCTAGCTAATTTTGGATTTTTAGTAGAGACAGGGTTTCTCCATCTTGATCAGGGTAGTCTTGAACTCCTGATAGCAGGTGATCCACCCTCCTCGGCCTCCCTAAGTGCTGGGATTATAGGTGTGAGCCACCATGCCAGCCTGGAGTTTGATTATTACTCAAGTCAGTCTCCTAGAGCAGAAGATTCAGGGAATAGAGTTTTTAAGGATGATTTGGTGAGTGCAGGGGGTCAGTGAGTCAGGAGTGCTGATTGTTGGGTTGGAGATGAAGTCATAGGGAATGGAAGGTGTCCTCTTGCACTGAGTCAGTTCCTGGGTGGGGCCTACAAAATCAAATGTGCCAGTTTACCCATCTGGATGGTGCCAGCTGATCTGTTGAGTGCAGGGTCTGCAAAATAGCTCAAGCACTGATTTTACGTTTTACAATAGTGATGTTATCCCCAGGAGCAATTTGGGGAGGGTCGGAATCTTGTAGCCTCCAGCTGCATGACCCCATTAGAAACCAGTTTTGAAAAATTCATTTTTCTAAATGAATTTCATGTGGATCTATAATATAAGAAACAGATTAAAGCAGTATTTTATTCTATCAGTATATTTTAAAGCTCAAATGTGGCCGAGTACAGTGGCTCATGCCTGTAATCACAGCACTTTGGGAGGCTGAGGTGTGTGGATCATTTGAGGTCAGGAGTTCAAGACCAGCCTGAACAACATGGTGAAACCATGTGTCTACTAAAAATACACACACACACACACACACAATCAGCCAGGCATGGTGGCACATGCCTGTAGTCCCACCTACTCAGGAGAATTGCTTGAAGCTGGGAGGAGGTTGCAGTGAGCTGACATTGTGCCACTGCATTCCAGCTTGGGTGACAGAGTGAGACTCTGTCCCCACCAAAACAAAAACAAAAACAAAAAAAAAACTCTAATGTGGAACATGTATAATGAGAACAATAAAATTCTTTTGATGAACACGAACTTTAAATTATGGATGATTAGGCAGTCTTACGTCAAATCTGTTGTTTTGATTGCATGGTATCAAGAAAAGTCTGACTTAAACATGAGTAGATGATAAAGAATGTTTTCTGTGTGTTTTTAAAATAGTACATTAATGCTATCTAAGGATTTAATAACACCTGTCCACAAGTTTTAAAAGTAGAATATTTATAAATTAATTCCTTAATAATTTTAAGGAATGTGAATACTTGGTAGTTGTAAACCTTTTGGTAAATTAAAACTTTACAATATGTACTAATGATGATATATGCATAAGGCAGTCATGTTATTGCATAATGCAATTAGTTCTGATAGTACTGAATGTGCTTATATAATGCTACAGGAGCAAACAAGCACCACCCTAAAATTTCAAAATATCAACATAAGACTACAGTCTTACTAATCAATAACATTTTTATCCTTTCTGAGGAGAAAAAGAAAAAAAATTTTAATTAAAAAATAAAATGTCTCCCCCCCGCCCCGCTGCCGTCCCGCTGAGACAGAGTCTTGCTCTGTCACCCAGGCTGGAGTGCAGTGGTATGATCTTGGCCGACTGCAACCTCCACCTCTCAGGTTCAAGCGATTTTTCTGCCTCAGCCTCCCTAGTAGTAGCTGGGACTATAAGTATGTGCCACCACACCCAGCTAATTTTTGTATTTTTAATAGAGAAGGGATTTAACCACGTTGGCCAGGATAGTCTCAATCTCTTGACCTTGTGATCCACCCACCTTGGCCTCCCAAACTGCTGGGATTACAGGCATAAACCACTGCACCCAGCCTAAAAAATAAAATGGCATTTAAAAAGTTTCAAGTCTATACACAAAGTGAGAAACTCTATTCCAAGGATTGTTGTCCTGGGCATGAGCACTATAGACAATTTACATTTTCTTCCTTTTGCTTATTTTCTCTCAAATACTCTAAATGCATTGCTGTTTTTGTTTTTTGTTGTTGTTGTTGTTGTTGGCTTTGCTTTTTTATTTTGAGTCAGAGTTTTGCTCTGTTGTCCAGGCTGGAGTGCAGTCGTGCGATCTCAGCTCACTGCAACCTCTGCATCCCAGGTTCAAAGCAATTTTCATGCCTCAGCCTCCCAGGTGGCTAAGACTACAGGTCCACACCCCACCATGCCTGGCTAATTTTTGCATTTTTGGTAGAGACGGGGTTTCACCATGGTGGCCAGGCTGGTCTTGAACTTCTGACCTCAGGTGATCCACCTGCCTCAGTCTCCCAAAGTGCTGGGATTACACGCATGAGCCAACATGCCTGGCCAAATTTTTATGTTGAAAGTACTATAATTACAAACCACAGGAATTTGCAAAAAAGTACACAGTGAGGTCCCAAGTATGCTTGCCCAAAGTCCTCCAACGTTATAACTTATGTGACTCTAGTACACTCTCACCATCAAGAAACTGACCTTGGTACAATCCCTAGTTTATTCAGGTTTCAACAGTTTTATATGCAAAATGGGACTTGAGAATGCTAGGATTTGTTTGCAGTATGTGTGTGTGTGGTTGGGTGAAATTTTATCATATTTACAGCTTTGTATAATCACACCTGAGATCAAGAACTGTTCCATCCCTACACAGCTCCCTCATGCTACCACTTTACAACCACACCACCCCTCACCTCCCATTCCGAACTCCTAGTAACCACTAAACCTGTTCTCCATCTCTGCAGTCTTGTTATTTCAATGTTACATAAATGCGATCATACAGTATGTAACCTTTAACTCTCTCTTGATTTTTTTTTTTTTTTTTTTTGCTTTTGAGATGGAGGCTTGCTCTGTCACCCAGGGTGGTATGCAGCGGTGTAATCTTGGTTCACTGCAATCTCCACCTCCCAGGTTCAAGTGATTCTCCCACCTCAGCCTCTCCAGTAGCTGGGATTACAGGTGTGCGCCACCACGCCTGGCTAATTTGTATATTTTTTTTAGAGACACGGTTTTGTCATGTTGGTCAGGCTGGTCTTGAACGCCTGACCTCAGGTGATCTACCCACCTTGGCCTCATGAAGTGCTGGGATTACAGGTGTGAGCCACCATGCCCAGCCTTCACTCAGTGTAACTCTCTTGAGATAACCCGGCGGTACAAATCCGTTGTCCTCATATATTAAAATTTAGCATGACATGCGCTTGAGTGTATATAAACATTTATAACATTTTAAAGTTTAAAACATTAAAATGTGAATCAAAGGCATATGAAATCCCTGTTTCACTGACACAGAACAAGGATTCTGAGATACAAATTTTGAAAATTGGTAATCTAATACATATCTAGTACAATCCATTACAGGTTGAGTATTCCTTATCTGAATGCTTTGGAGCAGAAATACTTTGGATTTGGAATTTTTTCAGATTTGGGAATATGTGCATTATGTACCAGTTGAGCATCCCAAATCTGAAAGTGCAAAATCCAAAATGTTCCAAAATCCCAAAACTGTGAGTGCCAATATGACACTCAAAGAAAATGCTCACCAGGGAATTTCAGAGTTTGGATTTTCCGATTAGGGATCCTCAGCCTGTACAAGCACTTTATAGAAGAAAGGCCCAGGATTCAGTGTTCACAAGAGTACATAGTTACAAGAACACCTGGTTTTGCACTTTTTATGACCAGCCTCTAGATTGTGGTTCTTTCCCAACCCAGTTGAGTATGTTACATTCAAATATGACCACTTGCTCTTCTCAAATGACCACAGTTTACTACCCTTTCAAGTTCTTCCTAATGATCGAGGAAATGAACTCCTCTTAAATTTCCAGATCTGTATGGTGCTTTGGCTAGCACCACACCTCAGGTCCAATTCTCCCATCTCTATGTGCAGCAGGTCCACATGACAAGGCCTCACTCAGAAAGAGCTACGCCAACCTAGGACAGTTCAAACAAACTCTTCCTCCTCTCCCTCCCTCCAGGTGCCTAGATTCCTGATCTCATTCCTCCCTAGGCTAACCTGCTAAGTCTTCTGGATAGCTCACCCCCACTGCCTATCTCTTAGCTAACTGGGTATGACAAACCAAGTTCTCACACCTTCAGGTTTACAAGGCAAACACTCTAGGAACTTACTTCTTGAATACCAATACCTTCACAGTAACTACCCTGCCTTTCCAAAGAGTGCTCTAAACAGGTAAAAGCTATAATACAAACTCTACATATTTTTGTCATACACATACCAAAAATGCCTTTTTTTTTTTTGGAATTTAAAAAATCTGGTTGATATGGTTATTGCTCTAACAATATTAGATCTAAATGGAGTTTGAAGTAGCGGTAAAAGGCTGGTTGTGATGGCTCGCAACTGTAATCCCACACTTTGGAAGGCCAAGGTGGGAGGATGGCTTGAGGCCAGGAGTTTGAGACCAGCCCAGGCAACAAAGTGAGACTTTTTCACTACAAAAAATAGAAAAAATGAGCCAGGCATGGTGGGGTATGCACCTGTACACCCAACTACTTGGGAAGCTGAGGTGGGGGATTACTTGATGTGCGGAGTTGAGGCTGCACTCAGCCTGGGGAGACAGAGTGAGACAATGTCTCAAAAAAATAAAGAAAGGAAAAAAAAGGAAAGGAAGGGAAAGAAGTGAAGGAAGGGAAAGCAGGAAAAAGGAAAGGAGGGGAGGGAAGTGAGGAAAAGGAAAGGGAAGGAGAGAGAAAGATGGAGAAAGGGAGGGAAAGGAAGAAAAAAAAAAAGAAGGGAAGACAGGAAGACAGAGTAGTGGTAAAAAGCTTGGACTCTTGAGCCAGACTGCCTGGGTTCAAATCAGGCCTCTGCCACTGTACTACCTGGATCAAGTGTTGGTCCATTTGTGTGGCTCAGTTTACTCCTCTGTAAAATGGCAATAGAAGCTACTCGCCTCATGGGACTGTTGTGAGACTTTAACAATATATGTAAAGCATTTAGACCACTGACTAGCACACAGTATTATCTGAAAGTATTAAAATTTATCTCTACCACAGTACAGATTCACTTCTTTGTGATATTTCTCTATTCTGCTTGGACTCTTTTCAGTTCAACCTGCTTCTAAAATTTCCATACCAAGAAACAATGACAATGTTAAGAATTTTATTTCTTAAATTCACCTTGGCTAGTCAAAACAAATTCTCTTTTATGTCCTAGTAGTTATTAACATTTCACTAAATATAACTGCAAGCATTTAAAGTACAGGAGTAATGGAACAAATGCCAAGCCAAAGCAGGCTATCAGAAAATATACATGAAACACCCCTGTTCAAAAAAGGGGGGTGGGAATAATATGGTCATATGGATGTTTATCTACGTGTCAAATGGCTCTGAAAAGTTTCACAGTGGCCTACTGACAGGGAGAACTGACTGGGGGACAGGATGTGAAGACTCTTCACTGTACATGCCTTGTTATCTTTCAAATCTGAAGCAGCTAATGCATTACCTAGACAAGATTTAATTTTTAAAATGGAGGTGCAGAGGTGATTCTAAATAAGTACTCTGGAAGCCAGGTGTCAAGTGTCAATTTGCTACTACCTGTGTTTTCTTAAGTAAGTCGCTTAACCTCTGAGTCTCAGAAAAAGCAAGGAGCAATAAATACTTTTAGGTTCTATTTTTTTTTTTTTTTTTGAGATAGAGTTTTGCTCTTGATGTGCCGGCTGGAGTGCAATGGTGCGATATCAGCTCACTGCAGCCTTCACCTCTTGGGTTCAAGTGATTCTCCTGCCTCAGTCTCCTGAGTAGCTATTACAGGCACCCACCACCATGGCTGGCTTTTTTTTTTTTTTTTTTTTTGGAGATGGTATTTTGCTTATTGCCCAGACTGGAGTGCAGTGGCATGAACTCAGCTCACTGCAACCTCTGCCTCCAGGGTTCAAGTGATTCTCCTGCCTCAGCCTCAGGAGTAGCTGAGATTACAGGCGCACACCAGCACACCTGGGTAATTTTTTATATTTTTAGTAGAGACAGGGTTCCACCATGTTGGTCAGGCTGGTCTCAAAGTCCTGGCCTCAGGCGATCTGCCCACCTCAGCCTCCCAAAAGTGCCGTGATTACAGATGTGAACCACCACACCTGGCCCTAGGTTCTATTCTAAAAGTTGTATAATCTCAATGGGGTAGTAAATAGATGGTACTTTTAAGATATGAGAGAGGTAGTAATCCAACATTTTGTAAAACAAAGCAAATTTTTTGTGGACTTTATTTTCAAATACAGTGGACCCTTGAACAACATGAGTTTGAGCTGCATGGGCCCATTTATACGTGGATCTTTTTCAAATAAATGCAGACCTGTATATATGAGGCCCTACTTTTCACATACCCAGGATCTGCAGGGTCCACAGTGGGGACTTGAGTATGCCAGGATTTTGGTAGAAATAGGGGTCCTGGAACCAACCCCGTATGGTATATGCCCTATGCAGATACCATAGGACAACCAGACTACTTTTACAGTGTTAAGAAACATAAATTTGTCAAGCCTCTTAACCTTTCCAGATCATTTGTACTATTCGTACATAGAAACCCTTCTTAGAGGGAGTCTAATATATAGGAAGTATCTACATAAAATATTCAGCATATTAGGGCTGGGCACAGTGGCTGATGCCAGTAATTTCAGCACTTTGGGAGGCTGAGGTGGGCAGATCACCTAAGGTCAAGAGTTCAAGACCAGCCTGGCCAACATGGTGAGACCCCCGTCTCTACTAAAAACACAAAAAATTAGCCGGACATGGTGGTGGGTGCCTGTAATCCCAGCTACTTGGGAGGCTGAGGCAGGAGAGTCGCTTGAACCTGGGCGGTGGAGGTTCCAGTGAGCCAAGATCTTAACACTGCACTCCAGCCTGGTTGACAGAGCAAGACTCCATCTCAAAAAAAAAAAAAAAAAAAAAGGCAAAAAGAAAAGAAAAAAGGATATTCTGCATATTACTTTCTCTTGCACAACTTCAAGTGTTTAAAATGAACACATCTTTATGCTATACCATGATCAGTAATAAAATACATTAAAACAATTAACATTTAAACATATAAATGACTATATACGAGAAATTTATTATTCTTAAAGGTATTTATTATCAAACACTGAAAAAATAAAGTAACATCTCCAATCAATGGTAACAGCTATAACTGAGGACAGACTTTATTTCAGGAAAGTATATGTAATCACTTTTCATCCTAACATTCATCTGGCAAAGTAGGTTTGTTTGTTTGTTTATTTTTTGAGACAGGATCTCTCTCTACCACCCAGGCTGGAGTGCAGTGGCACCATCATGGCTCACTCCACAGTGACCTCAGCCTCCCAAGAAGCTGGAACTAAAGGCATGCACCACCATGCCCAGTTAAGTTTTGTACTTTAGAGACAGCGTTTTGCCCTGTTGCCCAGGCTGGTTTGAAACTCCTGAGCTCAAGAGATCTGCCAGGTGTCAGCCTCCCAAAGTGCTGGGATTACAGGTGTGAGCCAACCCTTGAGTAGGTGTAAAAATCCCTATTTAACATAAGAAATTGAGGCACCATGAACATAAGGCCACAAGTTTAATAACTAGGAGAGCTGGAAGCACCGCCCCCCCCCGCCGCCCCGATCCCTTATATTTGAGCTTAGTATACCAGACCAAGGGGGCAGGGAGGGCTGACTTAATGTTAGCTGGCAGGCTGGTGTAAGTTTGCAGAATTTTCATTGATTTATGAGAAAATGGGGAAAAGTAAGGACACAAAATAAACTTTTTTTTTTTTTTGAGATGGAGTTTCACTCTTGTAGCCCAGCTGGAGTGCAATGGCACCATCTCTGCTTACTGCAACCTTTGCCTCCTGGGTTCAAGTGATCCTCCTGCCTCTGCCTTCAGAGTAGCTGGGATTACAGGTGCACGTCACCAGGCCTAGCTGATTTTATATTTTTAGTAGAGACAGGGTTTCACCATGTTAGCCATGCTGGTCTGAAAGTAAACTTTCCAATATAACTAAATGATTCCATTTAAAGATCTTTTATTCTGGCTGGATGCAGTGGCTCATGCCTGTAATCCTAGCACTTTGGGAGGCTAAGGTGGGCAGATCACAAGGTCAAGAGATCGAGATCAGCCTGGCTAACATGGCGAAACCCCTTCTCTACTACAAATACAAAAATTAGCTGGGCATGGTGGTACATGCCTGTAGTCCCAGCTACTCAGGACGCTGAGGCAGAAGAATCACTAGATCCAAGGAGGCAAAGATTGCAGTCAGCCAAGACTGATCCTCCCACTGCACTCCAGCCTGGTGAAAGAGCAAGACTCCGTCTCAAAAAAATAAAAAATAAAATTTATTTTGAGAGATTCTGTTATTTCCAATTGTTTGACTGAAAATATCCTTTTGTTAAATGAAATGGTGGTGACAGGAGACAGTGGTGTCATATTTGTTTTTATTGGCTGTACCTGGTAGAAATAAAAAATCAGGCCAGGCACGGTGGCTCACGAGGTCAAGAGATCAAGACCATCCTGGCCAACATGGTGAAACCCTGTCTCTACTAAAAATACAAAAAATAGCTGGGTGTGGTGGCATGTACCTGTAATCCCAGCTACTCAGGAAGCTGACACAGGAGAATCGCTTGAACCCAGGAGGCAGAGCCTGCAGTGAGCTGAGATCATGCCACTGCACTCCAGCCTGGTGACAGAGCAAGACTCCATCTCAAAAAATAAATAATAAATAAAATAAATCAGCATTTCTATTGTAGCCTCCTTATTTTGAGAAAATATTTCTTTAGAAATCTAAAAGTCTGGCCCTTTACATCATTACAGCCCCCAAATAATAGAGGACTTTACACACAGAAAACACATGCCCCTCAAGATTCTCTCTTTAACCTCTACCTTATTCTGTTTGGATTAGGAGATTGTGAAATGAGAATCAAGTTGAGTATAAGCAATCCAAAACCATGTGCTGACACTGGAACCTGGAAGAGGACTTTCTTCCGAATCTTTTTCATCTGTTAACTTTTCTCTGGGCTCAAACTTTTTTCTTTCTTTCTTTTTTCTTTGAGACAGAGTTTTGTTCTTGTTGACCAGGCTGGAGTACAGTGGTGCAATCTCGGCTCACTGCAACCTCCGTCTCCCGGGTTCAAGCAATTCTCCTGCCTCAGCCTCCCAAGTAGCTGGAATTACAGGCATGTGCCACCATGCCCACCCACCTAATTTTGTATTTGTAGTAGAAACTGGGTTTCTCCATGTTGGTCAGGCTGGTCTCGAACTCCCAACTTCAGGTGATCCACCTACCTCGGCCTCCCAAAGTGCTGGTATTACAGACATGAGCCATCGCGCAAAGCCTAGGCTCAAACTAGGATCAAAAGTTATTTTTAGTAGTTCTTGTTTCTTAAATACTTGAAATGTGCTGCTGCATCGTGTTTTCCTTATATATTTATTCATTCAACTAACTTCAGGTGGAAGGTACTTACAAGTTTACAAGTCCTTTCCCAAAGTGGAAATAACATAAAAATTTTGCATAAAAGACACTCAATGTTTCTCAACGGGTATCTGAGAGTCTAATCAGCCTATTAACTTGGTTCAGAATAACCACCAACAACAAATGTGAGGTTTTTTTTTTTTTTTTTTTTAAATCACATCTAAGTATTTTCCCCTGTAAACTAATACCTATATTTTAAACGCATTTTCAAAATGTTTCATTTGGCCATGTGATAATTATTTCCCCTGTAAAAAGCTACAGGATTTTAGTTTAAGAGCAAATGAGATAGAGTGTCTGGTCCATGAGAAGGCTAAGTGGAAAGATCAGCACCTGAAATTTGTAACCGGTAACAAGACAAACTCCAAAGCTGCCTTGTTCATGTAATCAACAGTATGTGAGTTGAAATAAACTAGTGAGCTCATTTCTGCCTACATACCAATTTACCAATCAACAGGAGGGAAAGAAATTGCTCAAATGTGACTACTGTTAACAAACATCTAAATATTAGACAGTCTCTGCTAAAATCGTAACCTATCAATTCTGAAATCATTCCTTCGACTTCTGTTATGTTTTTAATCCCCCCTCAAAACACAAACACACAAAAAAACAGCAGCCACGTTTAAAATGTAAATTCCTCCCTTTTTCAAAGTAACTTGCCTAGAAAAATACGTTAAAATGTAACAGACAAACCAATTACAACATTTAAAAAAACTAAAATGATCAGTAACACAAACAAATCCCTCAAGTTTAGCAAAGTGTGTATTTTTAATCTGTTGGAGGTTTCCTATTATACTAATAAGCAACGTTTAAGTCATCCCAATGCCTAAAACACCAGCTTACACGTAACATATTTGTTCTTAACTCTGATGACGCTTAAACCCAGACCCAAACTTACACCATTTCCCCCTCCTGGCACACTGAAATATTCGAGGGGAAAATCAAAGAAATCAGGTATGTTATGTGCCAGTATCTTCTTCCAGAGTAGGCTCAAACTCGTGTTTGCCCGCAAATGTCATCGTCCCAGTAAGTCTGCAAATTCTTACTAGCGCTGGAGTACAAAGAGGCCTGACCACAGAAACACCTGTCCTAGCACCAGGAAGACCCTGAGTCAGCGCCAGCCCCAAAGCCTTGGCTGCAGCGATGGGGGGCAAGAGGTAACCGCTGGCCTCGCGGGTGCGGCAGACAGGGTCCCACATGCCCGGCCCTCCTCCCAAGAACCAGGAAACCTGTCAGGCCGGCTGGGATCCACCCTCCTCAGACCCTCGCGCTCCAGCCCAGCGCCGCCCCCGCCCGCCCAACTGCACCCGGACCGCCTCCGCCTCGTGACTGCATTCTGCCACCTCATCCCTCCCTGGCGACCTCAAGGCCCCGCCACCTTCCCCGCGCAGCCTGGGCTAGGGCTGCCTCTGGGCATAAGCGCCCAGCCGCCCCCCCTGCCCGGCCCCTATCTCATCAGTTCCCCAGCGGCCCGGTCCCCACCGACCCCAGGCCCCAGTCTCTGGCCTCGCCCTGCGCGGTTGTTCCCATCCCAGCCCACTCCCCAGCCAGCTACCTAGAGGCAAGGGCGGCAGAGCACTTCACCCAGGGCCCCAGGTTGAAGAGGGCCCGGTGCTCTGGGCCTCGCTCCTTCTTCCGCCGCGGCGGCACCCCCGCCGCCCCCACCTCTGCCGTAGCGCCCCAAAGGCTCGGTCGCTTGCTCCAGGGCCGGCCCCCACAGGCTGGCCGCCCAACTGCCCAGAAAGGAGTGAGGCAGGAGGAGCGCAGAAGGCGCCCGCAAGCGCGAAAGAAGGGAAAGGGGCGTGCAACCCCCAGGAAGGCTGGATTGGCCTGCAGAGACTGAGGAGGCACGTGGCGGCGCGCGTGAGGGGCGGGGCCCGGGAGGGGGCGGGGCCTGGAAATAGTGTAAAGAAAAGAAAGCAGCTTTTGCTTTCAAAAACTCAGGCAGAACAACTAAGCCAAAATATGTTTAAAAAGGTTTAAAAAGAAAAACTATAAAATAAAAGAGGAGGGAACTGTGGGAAGTAGAAAAGTTCCTGTGGTCCCAGCTCCACGGGCGATTAAGTGGGAGGACTGCTTGAGCCCAGGAGTTCAAGGGTGCAGTGAGCTATCATTGTGCCACTGCACTCCAGCCTGGATGACAGAGGGAGACCCTATATGTGACAAAAACACTATGGGGCCAGATACAGCGGCTCATGCCTCAAATCCCAGCACTTTGGGAGGCCAAGGCTGTGGATGACTTGGTCGAGACCAGCCTGACCAACATGGTGAAACCCTGTCTCTACTAATTACCTGGGCGTGGTGGCACGTGCCTGTAATCCCAGCTGCAGGTCTGCACCACCATGCTTGACTAATTTTCTTAAATTTCTACAGATGGTGTCTTGCTATATTGCCCAGGCTGGTCTCGAACTCCTGGCCTCGGGTAGTGTTGGAAATAGATGCTCCGTACAGCAAAGAAAAATTAGCACTGAAACAAAGGGTCTTTCAGCAATGCAAATTTTTACTTCCTGGACTGCAAGAAGGGTACTCCCGGTAGCCATTGTGCCATGAGAAAACAATGAACAAAGGAGGAACCAGGTGAGCTGATCCCAGCTCTCTTTTATTTTCTTTTTTCTTTTTTCTTTTTTTTTTTTTGAGACAGTCTTGCTCTGTCACCCAGGCTGGAGTGCACTGGCACAATCGTGGCTCACTGCAACCTCTGCCTCCCAGGTTCGAGCGATTCTCCTGCCTCAGCCTCCCAAGTAGCTAGGACTACAGGCATGCACCACCACACTTGGCTAATTTTTGTATTTTTAGTAGAAGTGGGGTTTCACCGAGTTGGCTAGGCTTGTCTCAAACCCCTGATCTCAAGTGATCCACCTGCCTCAGCCTCTCAAAGTGCTGGGATCATAAGCATAAGCCACCATGCCTGCCCCAGTATATGTATTTTGAATGAATGAATGAATGGACACTCAAAAAATGTTAGCTGTTAGTATCTTTCACAAACAATAGGCCCACAGCAAATATATCTTCCCAAATAAAAAGGAAGTACTCATCACAGAGATTGTTTCACCACTCCACAAAAAAAAGATGAAAACTTTTAAAAGAGTGTTTTGTAGACTGGGCATGGTGGCTCATGCCTGTAATCCCAGCGTTTTGGGAGGCCAAGGCAGGCAGATCACCTGCAGACAGGAGTTCAAGACCAGCCTGACTAACATGGAGAAACCCCATCTCAATGAAAAATGCAAAATTAGCTGGGCGTAGTGGTGCGTGCCTGTAATCCCTGCTACTCAAGGGGCTGAGGCAGGAAAATTGCTTGAACCCAGGAGGCAGAGTTTTCAGTGAGCCGAGATTGTGCCACTGCACTCCAGCGTGGGCAACAAGAGGCAAAACTCTGTCTTAAAAAAAAAAAAAAGAGTGTTTTGTGGTGGAGCACAGTGGCTCATGCCTGTAATTCCAATGCTTTGTGAGGCCAATGTGAGAGGATCGCTTGAGGCCAGGAGTTACAAACCAGCCTGGGCAGCATAGCAAGACCCTATCTCTACAAAAAATAAAAATACAAAATTAGCCAGGCATGGTGGTGCATGACTGTAATCCCAGCTACTTAGAAAAGCTAAGGCAGCAGAATCACTTGAACCCATGAGGTGGAGGTTTCAGCAAGCCAAGATTGAGCCATTGTACTCCAGTCTGGACAACAAGAGTGAAATTTCGTCACACACACACAAAAAAAAACATCAGCCAGGCATGGTGGTGTGTACCTGTAGTCCCAGCTACTCAGCAGGCTGAGGTGAGGATTGCTTGAGCCCAGGAAGTCAAGGCTACAGTAAGTCATGATCACACCACTGCACTCCAGCCTGGGTGACAGAGTGAGACTCTGTCTCAAAAATAATAATATAATAAAAGTTAATTTTTTTTTTCTTTTTGAGACAGAGTCTCGCACTGTCACCCAGGCTGGAGTGCAGTGACAAAATCTCGGCTCACTGCAACCTCTGCCTCCTGGGTTCAAGTGATTCTTCTGCCTCAGTCTCCTGAATAGCTGGGATTACAGGTGTGCAACAGCATGCTTGGCTAATTTTTGTATTTTTAGTGGAAACAAGATTTCACCCTGTTGGCCAGTCTGGTCTCAAACTCCTGACCTAAAGTGATCTGCCTGCCTCAGTCTCCCAAAGTGCTGGGATTACAGGCATGAGCCACCATGCTCAGCCAAAAGTTAACTTTTTCCCCCAAGATGGAGTCTCACTCTGTCATCCAAGCTGGAATGCAATCATGCCATCTCGGCTCACTGTAACCTCTGCCTCCTGGGTTCAAGAGATTCTCCTGCTTCAGCCTCACAAGTAGTTGGGAGTACAGGCCATGTCACCACATGCTTGCTAATTTTTGGCCAATGTTTGTATTTTTAGTAGAGAAAAGGTTTTGCTATATTGTCAGGCTGGTCTCAAACTCCCAATCTCAGCTGATTCACCTGCCTTGGCCTCCCAAAGTGTTGGCATTATAGATGTGAGCCATCCACCCGGCCAGGTGAATTTTTTAATAAATAAAACAAAAAAAAAATGTTTGATCTATTTAGTAGATACAGTTGCAGGTTTTCTTATTGTGGAGCGCTGAGGTCTGGGCTCTTTGAGTGTAGCCATGACCAAATAGTGAACGTTGTACTCAATAGGAGAATATTCACCCCTCACCCTCCTCCCATCTTTTGGAGTCTTCAGTGTCTATTTTTCCTCCTGTGTACCTATTGATTAACTCCCACGCATGAGAACCATCAGTATTTGACTTTGTTTCTGAGTTATTTCATTGAGGATATGTCCTCCAGTTCTATCCACACTGCTGGAAAAGGCATGATTTCATTCTTTTTGTGGCTGAGTCATGTTCCACGGTGTATATGTACCACATTTTCTTTATCCAGTCATCTGTGGATGGACACTTAAGTTGATTCCATATCTTTGCTACTATGAATAGTGCTGTGATAAACATATGAGTACAGGTACTTTTTGATATATTTATTTATTTCCCTTTGGGTAGATACCCAGTAGTGAGATTGCTGGTTGAATGGCAGTTCTATTTTTAGTTCTGTGAGAAGTCTTTGTACTGTTTTCCATATGATTGTACTAATTTACATTCCCACCAACAGTGTATAAGCATTCCCCTTTCTCTGCATCTTTGCCAATATCTGTTGTTTTCTGGGTTTTAATTTTTATAGAGATGGGGGGGGTCTCATTATGTTGCCCAGGCTGGTCTCAAAGTCCTGACCTAAGTGATCCACCCACCTTGGCCTCCCAAAGTACAGGGTTACAGGCATGAACCACCACATCTGGCTGTTTTCTGACTTTTTATTAATAGCATGTGCTGGATGCAGTGGCTCACGCCTGTAATCCCAGCACTTTGGGGGGGCCTAGGTAGGCAGATCATGTGAGGTCAGGAGTTTGAGACCAGTCTGGCCAACATGGTGAAACTCCGTCTATACTAAAAGTACAAAAATTAGCTGGGCATGGTGGCATACACCTGTAATCCCAGCTACTCAGGAGGCTGAGGCAGGAGAATTGCTTGAGCCCAGGAGGCGGAAGTTGCAGTGAGTCAAGATTGTACCACTGTACTTCAGCCTGGGTGACAGAGCAAGACTCCCTCTTGGTTTTTGTTTTGTTTTGTTTTGTTTCGTTTTTTTTTTTTTGAGACGGAGTTTCCTCTTGTTACCCAGGCTGGAGTGCAATGGCGCGATCTCGGCTCACCGCAACCTCCGCCTCCTGGGTTCAGGCAATTCTCCTGCCTCAGCCTCCTGAGTAGCTGGGATTACAAGCACGCGCCACCATGCCCAGCTAATTTTTTGTATTTTTAGTAGAGATGAGGTTTCACCATGTTGACCAGGATGGTCTCGATCTCTTGACCTCATGATCCACCCGCCTCGGCCTCCCAAAGTTCTGGGATTACAGGCGTGAGCCACTGTGCTCGGCTTGTTTTGTTTTTTAGGTAGAGTTTTGCTCTTGTTGCTCAGGCTGGAGTGCAGTGCCACAATCTTGGCTCACCAAAACCTCTGTCTCCCAAGTTCAAGCAATACTTTTGCCTCAGCCTCCCGTGTAGCTGGGATTACAGGCACGCACCATCAAGCTAGGCTAATTTCGTATTTTTAGTAGAGACAGGTTTTCTCCATGTTGGTCGGGCTGGTCTTGAACTCCCGACCTCAGGTGATCTGCCTGCCACGGCCTCCCAAAGTGCTGAGATTACAGGTGTGAGCTACTGCACCTGGCCCCAAGACTCCCTCTTAATAATAATAATAGCTTGTGCTTCTTCAAACATAACCTTAACATTGCTCCATGATGAGGTCATGTCTGTGCTCCTTCCCTTTGAATTTGAGAAGGTCTCTAACTGGCAGAAGTGATTCAATGTATATCAGAAAAAGTGACACCATTTGTGCATGGTCTTCCTGGGATGCTTGCTCTTTCACCCAGTTGCCATGCTGTGTGGAAGCCCAGATCACAGGGAGAGGCCACATTTTCATCTTCCAATCAACAGTCCCACCACAGGTTTGAGATGACAGTCAACATCAGTTGCCAGACATGAGATTGAAGAAGGCTTTACGATGACTCCAGCCCCAGCCACTGCAATAACATGAGAGATTCCAAGTGAAAATCACCTACCTGAACCAGTCAACTCCCAGACCATGAAAAAAAAAAAAAAAAACAGATTGTTATTTTAAGCACCCAAAGTTTTGGGGATATATATTATGCAGTAAGAGTAACTTTAATACCTTCCTTTCCTTCTAGTTTTTCGA